GCTTAGATGCAAGGTGAATCATTACCCGAAGAAGAGCTTTCAGATCAACACCTACATATCCATGTGTCCTTTCTGAAATTTCCTGTAGAAGGTCATCTGTAGGGACACTGTCTTTGCCTCGTAACGCAAGCAAAATGTCTTTCCTTTGAATCGCTGACGGGATAGGCAACTCGATCTCAACGGCGAACCTGCCTTCTGTTCGCAGCCTTTCATCGATATCATTTGGGTGCCGCGCTTCCGCGACCACAAGGGTAGGGCTTCCCTGAATCCGCTGAAACATGGAGTCCAACTCGCTGGTAAGATTCGACGAGGTACTGGGGCTTCTGGTAAGATATTCTGGCCCTACAATAACCAAGGAGGGCTCCGGCGAGGCGAAAATCTCTGCCCCTGGTTTCCAATGTAGGACTGTCGGCCATTCGCAATCGGCCAAGGCGGCAATCAATGACGATTTCCCTGTTCCCTTAGCGCCGTACAGAAGAAGCCCCTGCACTGGCTCGTATGCTTGAAAATGCTGTTTGGCAATTGGGTAACAGATGTCGCTTACGATATCTTGCACTTGAGCAATTTGATCCTGCATCCCACCGAGATGCTTTGGTCGGAATGTGATGGCTAGAGGCTGATCTAGTGTCTCTGAGCTGACAATCCTGAAGGCCGTGTCCCTTGTTACGCGCGCGAACAAGGAGTCTTGCAACCCCACGTCCTTTACAATGAACTCGACTGGTTCCTCCCCATTTGATGACAGCGTACAGCGTAATCTTTGTGACACAACCATATGTTCCCCTATAGGGGATATAGTCGAGGCAATCCGCTTCGACCAGGATTTCAAGTCGGCGTCAACATCTGGCGGAGCCCCAACCTTCTGAAGCGTCACAGAGACGGCATTCTGTAAGGGATGTGACCAGCGCGAAATAGTGATCTTCTCTCCTAGTTTGAAGCCGTAGGCTTCCTGGAGTAGTCTTGACGTCTGGACGATCGAGTCTTTCATTCCAGGCCCTAACCCTTGCCAAGCGACCGCGAGCTTCCTTTTGCCATTGTTGTCATCGGCTCCCCGGAGCTCACAGATGTCCCCAGATTTCAACTTCAACGACAGCATAGACACGGCCGTCAACCCGATTCTAAAAGGATCCTTGTCCGTACTGGCCGGACGTACAGTGAAGATTGACATTTTTCTAAGATCGCTTCTCCTGGCATGGTTACGACTATGGATTTGGAAACGAGAATACTATGAAGTCGAATGACGGGGAATTTCAATCTCTTCACGTCTTGGCAAACTTGTTCACGTGATGAGCGCACGCAAAAAAAGGGGTGCCTGATTGATTTTGTTGTTCGATCGACTGATAGGAGATATGTTTGACATATGAGATAGGCATAATTCATTCCAAAGGCTCAGGGGGATCTTGCTTGCCTGCACTACGGGTGACTCGCTTGACGAGGCCGCCGTCATCATCACCTTCTCGTCCCGTCCCTCTCTGATTGCTGATATCAGCTATTTCTTCGGACTTGGAGTCTTCGGGAGTCTCTTCTCGAATGTCCGCAGCTCGAGGCACCCTCTCCCAGCCCTCCACATCCTCTGCCTTCGTTGCAGCAGTATTGTCGGTGACAGCTTGCGCGCCTTCACTTTCGACTCCGTTCCAAGCACCGCAGCCACTGCATCTCCAACGCCCTAATTCCTCCAGTGCCCTAACACCAGGAGGGGCTTGACCGTTGACCAGACGACACCTGGAGCACAGCAATACCAATCTGTTCTTCGCGGCGGTTTCATCCTCGCCAAGAAGGACGTCTAGTATGCGGTCGTACCAGTGGGGCGGCTGTTCATATGTGGTGCTGGAAGGGGGTGGTATGCTCGAAAAGGCGTTTGGAGCAAAACCTGGCGAATCCGGCGATAAATCCACGGGGCTGTGTGCCATCATTGGACCAGCAAGTGGTGACGGGCCATGACTTGGCGACATGGGTGTAGCGCCCGGCTGGATATTCGGTTTCTGCGCAAGTGGGTTGGAGTTCTGTCTTCCTGGAATATTTGCTGTTGGTGGAGGTGCAATTCCAGTCCTTTGTATAGGGAGTTGCTCTGTGGGAAGACCCGGCTTTCTTTTCGTCCCTTGCTGAGGCTGCTTCGAGGGTGACTTTGTCGGTGGAGCACCGCCGTACTTCTGTAGTAGTTCTTGAGTACTGTCATACTTTGTGGCTTTCTTGAGATCTGCAATCTTTTGTTCCCGTTGCTTCTGCAAATGATCCAAGTAGGCTTGCTGACGGCTTATCCTCCAATCGAAAAAAGCAGCAATGACCATTCGGACCACGTAGATGGTGATCGGTGCTCCAATGAGGCCGGCATAGTGATAGATGGACCAATTCCGCGGTCCAAGGACGAGAACAATGATCAAAGTGTAGAGAAGGTATGTGACGGTTGTGTAAAGAGTCCACAGGGCTTTGATTCGGCGATCTCGACTGCGACTGATGTCAAGGGCTAGGTTCGCGGCAGTGATTTGTGAGGACAGCTTGGAGAGGGCTTTCTCGAAAGATGCAGGGGAGTTGGCATCTCCCTGACATGGTAAGTAAGTAACTGTTCAACAGTTCTGGTGGCCGCGTGCTTACCTTCCAAAGCCACGACATGCTGGCTCGTCTCATTGTCGGAGGTGAGATCGACAGCCAGAGAACAATTTATTTATGAGCAACAGCGTGCCATCGAACGGTCATCGCCCTTGATAGCAGCATCATGCGCCGAATCCAGCGCCAGGGCAAGCAATAATCATTGACAATGAACGACGAATGCCTGCGTCACGAGAATTTGGCGAAACGTGTTGCCACCTCGATCGGGGAGTCGGGGCAAACATGCAGGTGAGACCCAATGAGCCAACTTGCAGTCGGCGCCTGCGCTTGGAGAGCATTTCCCGGGAATGCGGGGAACGCTATCGGCTCTGCTTGGGCTATGATATGATTCTTAAGCGGGCTTGCGCTTCAATTTCTGGTCTGCTTCCGTCTTGAGTTCGTTGCAACAGCCGTCATGGCATCTCCTCGCTATGTTCAAAAATGTCTCGGAGACACGTCACGAAGCCTGCTTTCAGCAAGTCGCTTGATATGCCGGGACTGTCAACAACCCATCCGATCTCGCGTCGACCAAAGACGAAAGATTAGCAGCTATGGCTACACACAAGCTAAAGCCCTGGTGTACTCTAAATACGGAGAGCCACAAGATGTCCTCTCTCTACATGGTCACTCCATATCGCCCGCATCTGGGACCAACGTGGTTCTCCGCACGCTCGTGGCTCCCATCAACCCTGCCGACGTCAACCAGATTCAGGGTGTCTATCCCGCGAAACCAGAGATGACAACGGCTCTCGGTACCTCAGAACCCTCCGCGGTAGCTGGAAATGAAGGTGCGGCGGAGGTTATTAGCGTCGGTTCTGGAGTAAAGAGCCTGAGTAAAGGAGATTGGGTCATCATGAAGAGTACAGGGATGGGTACCTGGCGAACACACATGGCCGTAGACGAGAGCAAACTGATCAAAATTGACAACAAGGAGGGATTGACCCCTCTTCAAGTCGGGACAGTGTCAGTCAATCCCTGCACAGCCTACCGCATGCTTCTCGACTCGGCAAAGTGGAGCTTCCGCGGAGACGAATGGTTTATCCAAAACGGAGCCAACAGCGGCGTGGGACGAGCTGCCATACAACTTGGACACGAGTGGGGGTTCAAGAGTATCAATGTGATCCGAGGCCGGGAGAACAAGGAGGAGGAACAGAGACTCCGCCAAGAACTCCTCGATATTGGCGCCACCAAAGTCATTACTGAAGAAGAGCTACAAGGTCGTGAGATCAGAGACCAGATCAAAGAGTGGACAAATGGTGGACGAGAAGAAATCAAAGTCGGACTCAATTGCGTGGGCGGGAAACCCGCCACGGCATTGGCAAAGTTCCTCAGCCCCGGAGCAACCATGGTGACGTACGGAGCAATGAGCAAGCAGCCTGTCATATTACCTGCCTCGCTCCTGATCTTTAAGGAGATAACCTTCAACGGATTCTGGGTGAGCAAGTGGAGTGATCGACACCCTGATCAGAAGAAGCAGACGGTAGACGACGTCCTTCGGCTCACGAGAGAAGGGCGATTCAAGGATATACCAGTGCAGGAATGCAAATGGGGGTGGAAGACGGATATCGATATCCTGAAGCAAGCTGTGCAGGGGACTCTTGGGGGATTCCGAGCTGGCAAGGGCGTCTTTGTCTTTGAGGAGACGTGAACGAACTCGATATGACCCGTTCCATATCAGTTGGGCTCTGTTCTGGTGTTACATGGGCTGAGCGGAATGGATTCCCGGTTGTGCAATCTCTATGTAAGCTACACCCTTCAGCATCATATGCCGCTGAAGATGTACATTCTGTGTATATCACTCGAATTGCCATATAAACATATAAATAGTCCCTCGGGTGGCGGTGGTGAGTATTGCGCAGGGCAGCAGCACCCATCATGTCCGACACGCTTACTCAAAGCGCTGAAGGCGGCATCCACAGCTTTATACAGCAATGCCTCGACGGGGATAAGGGTATCAGAATTACCTTTGCTGACATGCTAACCCCTCGTAGATGCGAAGCGTCAAAATATATATACACAAAACACCGAGGCGGAAGCAACGAGTAGCAAGGCTCCGCCTTTCCGCCAATCACTTTCGTCGTTCGCCCTGTGCGCAAAGAATTCCGCCCATTGAAAAAAGGCAAATCGTAATCATAGGTAGGGAAACGCACTCAACGACAAAAGGGCGTGCATTAGATTTCCCGTCGGGGGTTTGGTGGTATTTCTGCTGTTTCTCTGCTGCCCATCTGTCTCATCTGTCTATTCGGGAAGCCCTCAGTTGCCTCGTGCTATCATTCATTCGCCTTCTGGGTCTGATATAATATTCTATGTGCAGGACCTTCTTGGGAAAAGCCCTGAGATTGCAGACGGCCTCAGCATCTACATTCAAGTCCTTCCACCTACGAGTTCGAGGTCTCAGCTCCTCGAAAAGATTAGACATGGACGCGGATCAATTCAGGAAAGCCGCCCACGCGGCCATTGAAGAAAGTATGCTCTACGCCCAGTTTGCGACTGTCCCATGTGAAAAGAGCCATAGCTTACACATACTCCGCCTCAAGTCATTGCATACAACCAAGATCTCCCCAACTACCCTGTGTTGCCGACCATCAAACCGGGCTTTCTCGCGCCGCAGCTCCCAGCATCAGCACCGGAGAAACCCCAAGCATGGTCGGAGATCCAGCCGGATATTGCGTCGAAGATCGTTCCCGGGATCACGCACTGGCAGTCGCCCAACTTCATGGCCTTTTTCCCCGCGGGCGTCACGTATCCGTCCATGCTCGGAGAGATGTATTCTGCCGCATTCACAGCTCCAGCCTTCAATTGGCTTTGCAGTCCTGCGTGCACGGAACTGGAGACTGTGGTGATGGACTGGCTGGCCCAGGCGTTTCAGCTGCCCAAGGAGTTTTTGAGCACAAGCACAAGTGGCGGTGGAGGGACCATTCAGGGCAGCGCGAGTGAAGCGATCGTGACCTGCATGGTTGCCGCGCGAGAGCGGTATTTACACAGTAAGTGTGATGCAGAGGGTTTGAAACCTGGGTCGCCAGAGAGGGAGGATCGCATTGCCTTCCTGAGAGGACGGCTGGTTGCCCTATCAAGTGATCAAGCTCATTCCTCGACGCAAAAGGGGGCTCTAATCGCTGGTACTCGGTATCGATCTATTCAGACGAAACTCGAGAATGAGTTGTCTTTGAAGCGCGAAGAGCTGGAAGCCGCTCTGGAGCAATGCAAAGCCGAAGGTCTCGAACCTTACTATATCACCCTAACGCTGGGAACGACTTCGACGTGTGCAGTCGACGACTTTGCGGGCCTCGCGCCACTTCTCAAAGCCCATCCAAATCTTTGGGTTCACATCGATGCGGCCTACGCTGGTGCCGCCCTGGTGTGTCCGGAATACTCCTCCAAGTACTCACCACTCATGATCATCGCCGACTCGTTTAACATGAACATGCACAAATGGCTGCTCGTCAACTTTGACGCATCTTGCTTGTTCGTCCAAAACCGGAACCACCTAACACGTGCATTGTCCATCTCTGCAGCTTATTATACGAACAAGCACTCGGACAGTGGCCTGGTCACGGATTATCGGGACTGGCAGATTCCATTAGGAAGACGATTCCGCGCACTGAAAATCTGGTTCGTTATGCGGAGTTACGGCTTGGAAGGAATGAGGGAACACATCAGAAAGACGGTGGACAGAGGCGAGATCTTTGCTGATCTTGTCCGTGGGAGAAGTAATCTGTTCGAGTTAGTCGCAGAGCCGCGATTTGGGTTGACGTGTTTTCGGGTCAAGCCATCTGCCCTGTCAGAGCAAGCAAATACGGCAAAAACGAATGCAGACTTTGTGCCACAGACTGCAGCAGATCAGCAAAGAGAACAGGACGCGAATGAGGTGACGAAGCATATTGGAGAGTTGATCAATGAGCGAGGAGAGATTTTCATAACCTGTAGCAGCACGGCGGGCAAATCTTTCATGCGAGTTGTTAGTGGTAATCCGCATGCAGAAGAGAAGTATATAAGAGGGGCATTTGAGATCATCGTTAAAACGGCGGAGGAGGCTATTGCATCGAGGAAGTCGGTGAATGGGATGAATTGATAGAGGAGGAGCATCCTGTATATACATACATACCCTCATCCTTGAGCTAACCAGCTCCCTGAGTGACCTACAGGGCCTCTTGGGGAGACGCTCAAGGAGGCAACCTTGACAGATAGATCACGAGCATAGTACCTCAATGGGAATCGAGAAACAACGTGTTTACTTGTGGAGGGTGAGTTGTCCGTCAATCGGATAAAGGGGAGAGATGTTCGATGACACTGTCATCTGCTGTTTGTGACCTCAGGTCTGCAAACATCTGCTTTTCTATTGACATCTGAAACCATATATAAAGAGTGGTGCCTGGGATGTGGAGAGAAGTCTGTTGGTGAGAGGCTCTCCTCATGCACAGCCTTGCGCGGGCTTGGCGAAAGACGCCTTAACGCGTCTGCCACAAACACGTGTAAAGTGGTGAATTCTGCCACCAAGACCAGCGATTTCCATCCTCCCCACAACTGACGAGTTGGCTCGATCATCGCCGAATAGCTTACCCAAATGGATACCTTCGGAGACGGTCCGGGCTACAACGATGCCAATAGAGCCTTCCTGCAGGCCTTCCTCACCCGCGGCGTCCTCACTCTAGAAACGGCCAAACCCATCATTGCGGCGTGTTCGACATTTAGAGAACAACGCGAAGTTCTGCCGCAGGATGTCACGGTCGAAGACTTGAATGACTACATTGCAGACGCAAACCGCAGACTATCCCCTCTCGACCTCGAGATCCGAAGTACCTTGCACCAGCAGACCCGAGAACGGGTGTATGCCCTAGTGAACACCACGAGCGATCCACTCACGCAACTTGCCACAAGCTACACACCCGACGAAATCGTCTACGTGAGGAAACTCCTCGACGCAATGTTTGATGGACAGAACAACAAGGGCAAAAGAGAGGCTATGTGCATAAGTGGTATTGACGCCATTCAAGTTGGCAGAGCCGCCCTGCGGCGCCAGGCCGCTGAAGAGAATGAGACCCAGGCAACAGCTGGTGTGCTCAGTGCTATGGATTCTGAGAACATGCTTCACAAATTGTTGGACGAGGGATGGCTAGAAAAGAGTCGGGCTGGGTTTTACAGCTTGAGCCCTCGTGCGCTGATGGAGCTCAAGGGCTGGTTAGTGGACACCTACAATGACGAGGATGAAGACGGCAACAAGAGAGAGAAGATCAAGTTCTGCCATGCTTGTAAGGAGATTATCACGGTGGTAAGACAGTGTTTCGATAAATACTTTTGTTTTCCGCGCATTCCCAAAGCTGACGGACTGAGTGATCGGCAGGGCCAACGGTGTCCTCGACGTGAATGCCCTTGTCGGGTGCACGATATATGTACCCAGAATTTTTTTCGAATACAGCGATCGACGAGATGTCCACTATGCAGAACTGAATGGGATGGCGAATGCTTTGTGGGAGAAAAGTCTATCACAACGTCGGAAAGCTATCAGACTGGAAAGAGGAGGAGCGGTGCACACAACAGGCGGAGACCCAGTGCCAATGCCAATAACGAGGAAGATGATGTAGAATGACAAGTTGGCGCTCGATGCTTGAGAATCCTCAAGATACGATGTCAGACGGTGAGCGGCCGCTCGACCCTCTGCAGGACTTTTCGGGAGCCGAAGCCGGGCGATGACTCGGATGAGCAGCGATTCTTTGATGTTCGAAGCAAGTCCAACCTCTGATCGACTCGGCGGAGTATTGAAAAGGTTGCTCCACCAGGCACGCGACGACCATGGAGCCCCAACCATGGAAGTGAGTGGCACTGGGCTACGAACAGCGGTGGCGGTCCATGGCGCCCAGGCGCCCCAGGAAATGCAACCGAGCTCTCCAATGACGCCCTCCCAGGCACAGGAACCCGCCATTCCCCCTTCCCCACAACAGGAAGCGAGCTGCCACGAAACTCAATCTAGCAGTTCTATGAGCTTTGGTGACGCCGCTCAATCCATCGCGGCGAGGAGGGCACCCTTGCCTTGCCTCCGCATCCATTTACGTCTATCCCACAAATGACGTCGTATTCGCTCCATCAACCGCTCGTCAATTGACCTATGATGGCGATAGCCACCGACGATCCTGGTTGATGTGACCACAGACACCTACAAATCAAGCAAAGTCCTGCTTGGTCAAATGTAACTGTCTGCGATCAGGAATTCTACCGGTCTTCCGCGCCCTGCCTGCATTACATGTTGGACGTGGACAATCACTTAGCCAGCAGTAACTTCCCGTACCTGCCAACTGAAGCTCCTCTTGCTGTCACATGGCCGGTAGGCATACTTTCACCCATGAGGTAACCAGTAGCCTAGGAGCACCAAAAGCTGGAGCTTCTCTTCCTCTGACTTCAATTTTAAAACAAAAGTAAGCATCCCTAATTCACTCACACCCTGCCGGGATAGAAGAACAGCTACGAAAGAACTCAAGGTACGTGATGATAATAGCGATGCCCAGATGGAATCAAGGCCAAACTAATTCCTACAGATGGCTTCGACAAGGCCCTTGTCGCTCTTTGGCCTGCTTCTCAGTGTCTCCTTATCCTCCCTCACATCAGCTCAATCTGGTAATGCATCGACGATATACAAGACTCGATTTGACGGAGTCACCTGGGACGCTGCCAATTGGGTGCTCACCACCACCAATCTGGATCAAGGACATTATCAATCTCGAATGGTGGTTGCGAATGGCTATCATGGAATCAACGTAGCATCCCTAGGCCCATTCTTCGAGGTTGATACTCCTGTCGACGGCGACAATATCAATGGATGGCCTCTGTTCGATCGACGACAAACCTTCGCCACTGTTGGAGGCTTCTGGGACTCGCAACCAAAGACCAACGGCTCCAATTTTCCCTGGCTGTATCAGTATGGCTGGGATACTGCCATCAGTGGCATTCCTCACTGGGGTGGCATCGTTCCAGATTTGGGAGGAAGCAACTACCTCACTGCTTCCACCAACGGCTCGACCATCAGCAGTTTCAGATCAAGCCTCGACATGAAGCGTGGTCTGATGAATTGGGCTTTTACGTGGTCGCCAAATGGCCATGGGTCATTCAATGTCTCCTACCAAATGTTCGCACACAAGCTCAACATCAATCAGGGCTTTGTTACCATGAATATCACTGCGGCCAAAGCCACAAACATTACAATAGCGAATGTGCTCAATGGAGACTGCGCTGTCCGCACGACTCCTGGACAGAATGGTATTGATTCTGGTCTCATTTTCACCTCTGTTCAGCCGAATGGCATTCATAACGTGACGGCGTTCGTATACGCTGGTATGACGAGCTCGGGGGCTTCGGTTCGGTCTGTCCAGCAAGCAACATGGCAGCGGCCGTATGTGGGCAATAATGCATCATCAGTGGCTTCTGCGTTGAATGTCACCCTCCAGGCTGGGCAGGTTGCTACCTTCACCAAATTCGTCGGAATCGCCTCAACTGATGGATTCCTGAGTCCCCGTCCTGTTGCAAGAAATGCCGCACTTGCCGCGAGACAGGCTGGTTATGCTGCTTCATTGCAGACCCACGCTACAGAATGGGCACAACAGTTTCCCACTACGTCTGTCGACGATTTCTCATTCCCAGAAAATGGTACATTGCCAAACGATCAATTTATACTCGAAGCAGCAATTACAGCGGTGACAAACCCGTACCATCTCCTTCAAAACACCATTTCGCAGAATGCAATCAATGCAACGGCCAATGCTGCCAGTTCAATCAACAGTCACAGCATTGCCGTGGGAGGACTAGGTTCAGATTCATACGCCGGGCAAATCTTTTGGGATGCTGAGGTGTGGATGCAACCGGGTCTGGTAGCAGCATTTCCATCGGCGGCCAAGGGTATTGCAAACTATCGAGTGGAGAGGTACCAGCAGGCGAAGCAAAATATTGGCACTGCGTTCGCCTCCTCCAAGAAAAATACCGCGTTTAGTTCTGCTGCAGCCATCTTTCCCTGGACGAGTGGTCGTTTTGGGAACTGTACAGCCACTGGTCCATGTTGGGATTACGAGTATCATCTGAATGGCGACATTGGCCTGGAGTTCATCAATTTATGGATCGCGTCGGGCGACACGGCATTATTTCAGGAATCTCTCTGGCCCATCTATGACTCCGTTGCCACAATGTACTCGGAAATCCTTGAGCGAAACGGCTCTCATTGGGTTCTCCTCAACATGACTGATCCAGACGAGTATGCCAACCACGTCGACAATGGTGGCTTCACCATGGCCTTGATCTCTACCCATCTCACCTATGCCAATCAGTTCCGCTCCATGTTCAATGCCACGCCCAATGCAACGTGGGCGGGTATGGCTCAGAACGTGCTGATAGGCCGGGATGAAGACGCGGACGTCACGCTGGAATACACTGGTATGAACGGCACGACTGTCGTAAAACAGGCAGACGTCATTCTCAACACTTACCCGCTCTCCTTTACCGGGCAGAATTATACGTCCAACGACTCGCTCAGCGATCTCGACTATTATGCTGCCCAGCAATCCGTGGACGGTCCCGCCATGACATACGCGATCTTCTCCATCATCGCAAACCAGATCTCGCCTTCAGGATGTTCTTCCTATACCTATCAACAATATAGCTCGCAACCCTACCTCCGAGGCCCGTGGTTCCAACTCTCTGAACAGTTGGTCGACAACTGGAACGACAACGGCGGGACGCACCCAGCATATCCCTTCCTGACAGGCCATGGAGGCGCGTTACAAGTCGTGCTATTTGGATATCTAGGGTTACGTCTGATTCCAGATTTCAATCTGCACATCGACCCCAGTTTACCTCCTCAGATCCCACAAATCAGATACCGCACCTTCCACTGGTATGGATGGCCGATCTCCGCCTTCTCAAACCAGACACATACGGTCCTGACGAGGAACGGTAGCCTTGCTCCTAGTGAGGGCGCGGTCCCGAACGCTACCTATGCAACCTCTGCCATTCCCGTCGTGGTTGGCCCCATCGGCTCAGCCCCCCTTGCGATCTACTCCTTGATGCCGAACTCCAGCATAACGGTCCCCAACAGACAGATTGGTCTTATCCCTACGACCGAAAACAACGTCGCGCAATGTCTCCCTGTCTCGTCCCCCGATGACTACTTGCCAGGCCAGTTCCCGCTTGCAGCAGTCGATGGCGCAACCAGTACGAAATGGCAGCCCGTGTCAGCAAATAAGACAAGTTCCATCACAGTGGCGCTGCCAGTGGGATACAAGGTGACGGGGATGGAGTTCAACTGGGGACAAATACCGCCGTACAATTACTCCGTCCTGTTCCACAATCAATCCCTCGCGGACCCCTCCGCTGCCACCATCAACAATCCCGATGGCGTCCTTGAAGTCGCGTCGAACCAGCGCGTGAACATCACTGACACGTACAACCTGACGGCGCTGAACTCGATCGAGGCCGTGCAAGACAACATCACCACGTTTGACATCCCCTCGACTACCCCGCCCGTGTACACAGCGAATTTCGCCACGCTGCGCATCTGGGGATCGCTGTACAATGCCGGCGTCACCGCGCGCAACATGTCCGGCGACGGCGCTACGGTCGCCGAGTGGAGCATCCTGGTGGAGGGACTGCAGAGCCCCAACGCTACGACTGCCGGAGGACCCGTCAGGAGGACGATGAGCGATCTGGGCAGGAACCTAAAAGCCAGAGGCGATATGGGTCGTCTCGACGCCGATCTGTTGATGAAGCTGGGCCACGTCGCGAGGTATGCGAATAGGGAGGGACGCAAGATGCCAGGAAGATGAGAAAGGAATGCATCTGTCAGCCGCGTCACAGGTAAACGACGGGAAACTCTCCTCCAGAAGACAGAAGACAGAAGAAGACAGACCATGTCGAGGGGGGCGGTAGGTAGGTGGCCTGACGAACGAGAGGGGTCAACAATTAAGAAAAAGTCCCAATGCGCAAGTAATTGATTCCTCTATTTAATGCAAACCATGCGTTGCCGTCATGTTGGGCTCCAAATAATCTGTCATGGGGCGTGTTTCCGCCCAACCACTCCATTGCCTTTTTATTTACTGGTCACATCATACGTCTCTGTAGTCTTCATCGCCTGCTTCCTTCAGTCGAGGTAACCATGATGAGAAATTCACAGACTCGGTCTCCGTAATGGCCGTCCCGGGGCTTTATACTCGCTCCCTGTTTACGTTCGAGGGCCAGACCCAAGCGGCTTCAATGCTCGTGCCATATAGCAGCGGCAAGAAAAGAAGCCGAGAAAGACATAAAAGGGGAAAGCGAACATCCCTCCCTTGGAGAACATGACACAAGCGCTTTCCCCTTCGCAGTCGAAGATACGGAGGAGAAAGTCTCGCTAACTTTTCTAGCGGTCGACTCAGAAAAGTTGTCGACATCATGGCGCACTCTCGATGTGATAATCTGCGTTGCTTGTAGTGTTGAGGCTCTTCGAGGTTCTGCTTGTAGTCGGATGTCATAACATATTGCCATACGACAACCAAGTTATGACTTTCCCGGTCTTGCCGCCTTGGGTCATTCCCGGCAGATTGCTTTGTAAAGGAAGCCTGATCATACAAATAT